AAGCCTTTATGGATGACAGACTGCACCTATTCAATATATACACAAACGTAGTAAATTTGGAAGACTTTGAAGATACATGGTGGTGTGTTCCAAAACTGAAGAAAAACACGCCGTTCTGTATGGATCATTCCAAACGAAATTCATTCAGCTGCAGNTTTAAAAAGACACAGTTGGGATCCGCCCAGAAAAAATCGAACACCCTGTGTGACCGCCAATATTTTTATTTTGTCGAGCTCGAGAAATAAGGTAATATTATAGAAAATTAGATTCCTATCTGCTTCCTATATAGAGATATGGAACACCGCGCCACTGTTGCAGGACCCTGTATAATAAATAGAACAAGAATACCTAATAAATGAGAAACCTTGAAACATTGCGTCAATGTGTACAAGAAGTGGTAAAATCCATCATTCAAGGAAAAAACATGACAGTTCGACGAGGTTGTAACGTTTTCACAAGCGATCCTTCAATGTGTGCTCGGTGTCTCAAGATACGTCAAGAAATACAAAAACATGACATGTGTGGGAATAATACAGCATTTAAGAAAAAAACATGACAGTTCAACGTTTTACGTGCGATCCCTCAATATGTACAAGGTGTCTAAAAAGCATCCCTGAAGAAATGAAAAAATATGGAATCGAAGAGTACAGAGTGCGTCAAAATACATCACTCCAGAAAAAAAACGTGATAGTTCCACGTTTCAACGTGCGATCCCTCAATGTGTACAAGGGGTGTACATAATACATCATTAAAGAAAAAAACATGATGTCAAAGTTTTCAGGATGCTCAAAAATGCATCATTTAAGAAAAAAACATATCTGATCAAAGAGGCTGTAACGTTTCAACGTGCGATTTCTTAATGTGTCCACGGTGTCTCAGAATAAATCATTTTAGAAAAAAAAACAAGTTGGTTCAAGGGGAGTGTAGCGTTTCAACGTCCGATCCCAATGTAGGAAAGTTACGTGTTGTAGGGTTGATGTTCGAAGGTGGAGGCAATGAGGGAGCGAAGTATTCGAGAATTACATACGTTGTTTTACGCCCGAGGTAAGTCCATATATGAATATATAATTGAGAAAGATCTGACAATCTTGAACAGAGGCACGGAGCCGACATTTATTAACACCCGTAGCCAAACATTATTAGATATCACGCTTACGACTGCCAAAATATCAAACAAAATCCAAGATCAGCAAGTCTCGGACCATATTTCAATGTCAGACCATTGCTGGCTGACCTATACGGTAAACCAGGATCTCAGGACCACTGTTACATCCCGTGACCCGAATAGGACGGATGTAGCTCTGTACAATCGACTCTTAAACTCTGCGGAAAACAGAGGTCCTGACTCCTGGCAACAATGAAGAACTGGAAAGGCACTTTCAAATGACCACCATAAGAGTATCGGCATCCTGACGAGGGAAAATGGCGACAAAGCCGCCAACCTCCAGGAGAGTGCTGGGTTTCTCATGGAAACTCACTTCCCAGGTTCTGTCTTTCCTGAAACGATGAACTGGATAGATGTATCAACAACACCCTCACAATACGACTGGCAATCTGCTAGTGCAGTAATTCATGAAGACAAAATAAGATGGGCTATATCGGGCTTCTCCCCCAGTACCTTACGGTATAAGACCAGCCATACTTCAGTGGGGACTGGACACTCTTATGCCGCACCTGGTTGGAATATTCAGAGTATTTATACCCAAACCGGGTAGGATGGACTACACCCCACCAAAAGCATTCCTATCAATTAGTCTCACATCAATTTTTCTTAAAAACCATGGAGATGTTATGTGAGTGGTACATAAGAGATAAAGTACTAGTTCACAACCCACTCCATCGAAATAGCATGCATATACTCCGGGAAGGTCTACTGATTCGGCCCTACACCATGTGGTTGGCAGAATCGAGAGATCATTGGACAACAAAGAATCCACCTTGGGTATATTCATAGATATCGGGGGAGCGTTTGATAAAACAACCTTTCCAATAATCACCCAGCAACTGCACCCCTGGTAATAGGGGAATGGATACTCAAGATGTTCTCTAGTAGAGCAATAAGTATTAATGTAAAAGACATCACAGTGAAAGGACTGGTCATCAGGGGATGTCCACAGGGAGGGGTCTTATCACCCCTTCTCTGGAACATGGTTCTGGATACCCTGATTAATTACCTTAACAAAAATGGATTCTACACAATTGGATACGCATATGACATAGTTATCTTGCAGACTGGCAAATTTGTAAACACACTGTGCGATAGAGCGCAGGATGGGCTCAAATTGATAGAAACATAGTGTCAGGAACAGTAACTGTCGATCAATCCAAGAAGACTGAGACGGTCCTTTTTACCAGGAAAAGAAGTTTAACGGGCTTAAAACCTCCCGAAATCTTCAAAAGCAAACTAAACTTCTCTGAAGAGGTAAAATACCTTGGTAATATCCTCGACAGGAAGCTAACATGGAACTCTCATCTACAGAGTAGAGTAAAAAGAGCATACGTGGCTTATGAGCGATGTCGGAGGACAATGGGACTCGCATGGGGTCTTTCACCTCGTGTGGTCACCTGGATCTACACTGCAATAATAAGATCTATGTTAACGCATGGAGCCATTGCATGGGGAGCGAAAGTTCTACAAGCAACGGCCATTCGAAAATTATATCAAATACAGCAACTGGCTTGTTCAAACATCACAGGAGTCATGAAAACAACACCAACCGCGGCAATGGAATAAATCACGGGTCTGACCCATCTGAATCTGTACATTAAGGAGGTTGCGTTAATGGCCATGGTACGATTGCACAAGGCTGGTGTGCAATCGTAGTAGAAATAGGTCAGTTGAGGCTGGGCCTATGGCGGGAAGCGCTTACTACGCAACCTCTACTGCAGGCAACAAACGATGCAATTGAACCCAGGTGTGTGTTCAATAAACCCTACAAAATACAAATTGAACAGAATATAGAGTCAGATGATACGAATGCAATACGGATTTATACTGACGGCTCAAAAACTAAAGAAGGCTCAGGGTGTGGAGTGTACTCCAGATCACTAAGCCTGATAATTAAGTGGGGAATGGGAAGAAATACCAGCGTGGTCCAAACAGAACTGGCTGGTATCTCAATCGCCACAAAAAAAAATAACTGAGAAAGGAATTTCTGGCAGAAACATAACAATCTGCACTGACAGTAGACAAGCCCCATTAGCTTCGAACAGACAACGTATAACCTCAGGGCTAGTACTAGAGTGTCACCGAGATCCAGCCAAAGCCTTGGTAGATAATAACATTATCCTGAGGTGGGTTAAAGGGCACGACAGGAGTGAAGGTAATCGCATTGCCAAATCTTCAGCCAAGGAAGCGGCTGGACTAAGAATTTTAGGACCCAGTGACACATACGGCCTGATGACTTCAACAATTGCGGAACTAGTCAAATGTTACAGCCATGCTCAATGCTTAAAGAGATGGGATGGAATAAAAGGATGTAATCTTGCCGGGATCACCTTGGGCGACCCTGGGAAGCTGGTGCCGAAGAAATAACTGGCGATGACCAGGAAAAATCAACGCTTAACAGTAGGATTTTTGACTGGCCACTGTCAACGTAGGAAACACCTCCATAATATGAGGCTAGCGGACACACCTCTATGTAGGACGTGTGAACAAGAAGTTGAGATTGTCAGGCATGTCATGTGCGAGTGCCCGGAGTTATCGTCAATAAGAGAGTGTGTGTTCGGCGAGTCTTGGCTTACACGTGTCGATATAAAGGATATGTCTCCCAGTGACCTGTCCACCTTCCTGGAAAGGCCAGGATGGACGATGACCTAGGAGGACAACTCCTCGGGAGGATGTATAATGAGTCACATGTGGCCTAAGTGCTGTAGGCTTACACTCACCCTCCCTACTCTACAGATACGTTGTTTTGCGTGCATTTCGATCGTTTTATGTACGTTTATTCGTTATCGTTTCGAGATGTGAAGTGTGAAGAATAGGTCTGTAGGAGAAATATGGAAATTTGAATATCCACCTTTGACATATCTTTACGTTTCATGCAAAGATAAACATATCCTCGGTTTCAAAATCAGACATGAACGGTTAGGAATACGACTCGATGAAAATTGTATATTGGTAGCACGAAAGTGATATATTGATAATAATGTGTGATGAATCAGATTGAAGGGGCATTCATTGAAGTAAACAGGGTCTACATTTAGAAAAAACATGTCGTCAATGTGTACAGGGTGTCTCAAAATACATCATTTGAGAAAAACACATGATACCAATGCATATACAGAGCCTTTTTAAAATACATCATTCAAGAAAAAATGTCGGTTTAACGGAAGTCTAGCGTTCCAACATGTTAGAAGGACATTGAGTCGTATCGTTGTAAGCATCATAAGGAGGAGGAGGATATGTCACCAAAGATGTCGAGGTGTTACGTATTGTGGAGTTAACGTTCGAAAATGGGAAAAGCGAAATATTTGACAATGACATTATTACATCAAATTCAATAATAAGAAAATGTAACTATCAGAGACATTTATTTCTAAAACATTGGGGAATAACACTTCTGTTTTTTTTGTGTACGGCAAGTTATGTGCTTACTCGTATGGGCCTTGAGTTAAATCAGACAGATGAGTATAAATATGTACAAAAAAATGATAACAAGGGCGCCAAGTAGTTTCTTGTGCACCGACTAGCCTAAACCTGAAATGAACTACTAAACAATCCAGATACGCGAAAACAAATAAGGTGGAATATGACAAAGGAACAAGAATAAAAACGTTGAATGTTGCTTTCCCAAATTCAAAATACGCCTGTTCAACAGATTTATTCTTCACTTATACTATAANATTCGTTATCGTTTCGTCGTTACATCACTATCACTCAACGCATTTCGCTAACTGAAACAAACTTTTTTTCAGTTTTGATTTTTTGATTTTTCGCAAATTGATTTACAAAAATAGAATGCAAGTTCAGTCGTGAAGAGGAAGCCAATTATCAAAGTATGCCTGTGGAGACGCCGCTGGGGATATTCACCGCCAAAATAGAGAAAGGTAAATTTGGGTAAGAAAGTGCAATTTTTGCCACACCGAGTGACGGAGGAGTATCGCCTCATTCAGAAGAATTTTCATCAGGAAAATACGCTGTTGTGTTCGAAGGGTCGATGGACATTGGAAAATCGAATGGTGTAGTTTCATTTGAAATTGTATGAAATTAAGGTTCATATTGTTTCTCAGTTTTTCTCTGTTCAATATGCATAGAGTTTGTGGTTGTATACAATATTTTTTGTTCGGCTCGAAAATTCTCATTCATAGATATGATCCGCATAAAGTGGTGTTTCCATACAATATTTTTTCTTCGTTCAGTACGTGCAGAATATTTGTTTTGAATTCCTTGTTGTGAATGACAGTTGATTTTTTATTTCAATTATAAGTGTAGCAAACACTTCATGAAAGACAAGACATTACCCTCACAATTGAATATTATTTTTCTTTGGTGTATGCTTGTATTGAAGATCGAATTCATTTCAGAACACTACATGTGTAGTATCAGTTCAGAGTAAACTCAACAGCTACTTCCAAAACCTTCTTAGCAACCTTTCCAGAACGAACTTCTACTCTCCACTCTCCAGGACCATCTCAACAGTCTCCACAGAACTAGTTTCTGCACAGAACTACATTAACGTGTGCAGTATCAGTTCAGAGTCATCTCAACAACAGCAGTCAAAACCAACTGAGCAACCTTTTCAGAATCAGTTTCAAATCTTTGCAGTTTCCATTTTTTAGTCTATAGTTGCACATTTTGAGACTAGCAGTCGTAGATATTCAGGGATTTATTGTTGAGCAACAATTCCACCCCAACGAGATCGTCATCAAGATCAGTCAGTAATCAATGCAACACTTTTCTGCTTTTTCCGCCGAATGCATTCTCCTCCTTGAGCAAAGACGATAGAATAGGCGTTGCGTGTGTGGAAAGCATCCTCAAGGAATATCTACATGATGTTGGTATCATTTATGTGCGTGATCATCAGAAGAAAGCATTTATGGATGACAGACTGCACCTATTCAATATATACACAAACGTAGTAAAATTGGAAGACTTTGAAGATACATGGTAGTGTGTTCCAAAACTGAAGAAAAACACGCCGTTCTGTATGGATCATTCCAAACGGAATTCATTCAGCTGCAGTCTCAATAACGTTGATATTTTATATGAATGGCTTCATAATATACTACCAAAATGGATAAAATCCATGTCACACACATCTTTTTTTGAAAATGAAAACAAATTTTATGCAGGGAAAGTAGTCGAAATTAGTACGGTGACCGGGGCAAAGTTACAACTTCAGCATAATATGAATGTTCATAAATATTAGAGAAGGTCAAGATCATCAACAGGTATTAAGAAATTCGTTCGGTGTTTTTTGATCACTCTTCAGAAATGGTTTCAATGCTTTCGGAATACAATGCAAATACTTTTTTTCGTGAAAAACATCAACGAGTGATGGAAATACAACTTTAGCTCAAAAGAACGATGTTAACAATATGAATGCTAGTTACTGACTGCTTGAATAAAACAAATGAGCAAACAAGTAAATTCTGCAAAGTCAGGAGATAGTGCTGAGTTGGCTTCTTCTCTGGTGGCGGCATGATATAATTCCTCCCTTCGCAGATTCAACTTCGGAGGGTTACTGGGGAAGTTGAACGGTTCGAAGTTCTATTGGTGCTTCCAAAGGTTCCGTAGACTTCGATCTGGTTCGTTGCACTCTTTGGTATATGAGGTAAGCCAGGAAGAATACCAGAATACAGTATATGACAGTCCATGCACAGGGGGTGAATGGGATCAAAAGTCTGTTCTTAATAGAGGACGGTTTATCAATTATTCTCGACATGATGTCGTGTAGCTCGCCTATTTCGATTTGGTCCAGATGAAAACTCTGGTTCAGTTTTGTTGCTGATGTTTGCTTGGGTATATTTACTTCAGGGAATAAAATCGGCTAACTGTGCGTGGATAAACGGATTCCATTGGAAATGACCTCTTGGAATGTCGTCAATTGGCAACCGTTTGGGATCTCGATTAAGAATGAACCAATCAGTTTGGTCATTTATTTTTGTTGATGACATTTCATTTCAATGGTTTCTTCAATTGGTAGGAGACCAATCCATTGATTGTATTCTTCGAGACGTTTGAATATTGATTGGGTTACATGGATATCGATTTGCTGGCAGCTGGATGGATCCTTGATGTCTATAAGCTGGATTTCACAAGGGTTGGTTTCTTTTGCTTCGAAGAGGTCAGCTTGTTCACAGATGTATAACTGTGGACGGATTTTCATGCAAGCGTCGCTCATGAATGCGTAATACAATTCATTTTTTAGTCAATATTTATTTCGCGGTACTGACCCCCCGTATAAATAGGAGTCAAATAAAGATGGTGAAGGTTCAGTTCAGAGAAATAGGTTATTGACACAAGGAGAATATGACTTGCATGAAAAAGCAATGAAGCAAGAATCAATAAATTTTGACTCATGTAATAGTACGGTTATTCCTGTTATGAATATTGCCGTTTCCGTTATTTCCTATCCTTCGAGCTCTATACCACTTTCAGAATGGGGTGTTCATTTCGATGGAAATTCTAAAACTGTTTATTTCTTTATTGAGCATGTTACTGGATTAGCTGAATCAAGAAAAGTTGAAAAAAAATCTCTTTGATTCCGCTGTAGAATTATTCGTTGGTGATGCGTTTATATGGTTTAGAGGGGTACAAGCTAAGGTTGAACATTGGGACTCAATAATTTCACAATTGAAAAAAAATTCTTTCTCCAAACGTAGATGATGATATTTGGGATCAAATAAAATCTTTCAAACAACGAAAAAATGATAAAGTTACAATTTTTTATAGCTCATATGGAAAATGTATTCAGCAGATCAAGTCGACCTCCTAATAAAGTAGCAAAAGTTGAATATATTAGAAATAATTTACTTTTCGCATATATGAGCCATCTAGTGTTGATTGAAATTGATACAGTAACCAATTTACGGGATTTAGTTAGAAAGCTGGAAGATGCAAATTCAGTAATATTGAACAAGGTTAATTCTTTCAGCAAAACTCGCGAAATCAGAGAAAGAAGTAGCTGTTAATTTCCGTAATAACTCTAGTAAGTCATTTGCAAAGAGTGAAAATGATAAAAATTTCAGAAAGGAAAAATCACACGCGAAATGAAGTACAACTCTCTCCCAATGAAGAGGCTGATGATAGTGAGGTAAAAAATGACCTCTCCAACCTTCTACTACAGGTACTAAATCGCCTGCTACTTCAGAAACTATCACATGATAGAATTATGTGAAATGCACGTCAAAATGGCATATCACATGCTGGGCACGTCAAAATGGCAGACGTATGCAGTCTCTAGTAAAGGCCAAACATAACTCCCCTTCTATAGTTTCCTGTAACTCTGTTGATACGGAACAAACTGCTCCTCTTTTTGTTGAGCGTAAATTTGATAACCTTACATTAGGTGAAATTATTTGATCAAGATATTTCAATTCTGTTAGATTCTGGTTCAACTACATCTATTGTGGGATCAAATGGAATAGGAACAATCAAACAGTATGGTTTGAAAATATCCCCTCTGGTTTTTCAAAATATTTGTACCGCAGATGGAAAAGATCAACAAGCTCAAGGAATTGTAGAATTGCCAATTTGTATTGGTACTGTATGTCAAGTTGTTCCCTCCCTTCAACACACATTGATTGCTGGAAGTGATTCTGCTAAACAATTCCAACTCTTGATAGATTCTAAAAATAATGCATGTCATTTTCAAACAAAATCTAGTGATTCACAAGAAATGAGTTTGATTTTAGACGTTGAAAAAATAACTAGTGATTTCAGTCAGAGTTTATCTATAGAAAATTCAAGTTTAGACGATATAATTCTGGCTGATGAAATTATTGAATCATTTATTTACTTACTTACTATCTTACTATCCCCCTACATGCAAAAAATTCTTAATTCTGAATTAGATGATATGATCAAACTCAAGATAGTTGAACCGTCGAAAAGTTCTTGGTCATCCGCATCTTATTGGTAGAGAAGAAAGGTGGTGAGTACCGGTTTTGTTTCGATGGTCGGTCCTTGAATGAGGTAACTAAACATGACTCTTATCCTTTGCCCCATATAGACAGGATTTCAAATAAGCTTCAAGACGCTAAATATATTTTCTCAATCGATCTCAGAAAAGCTTTCTGGCGGATTCCTCTCGATGAACAGTATAAGGGAAAAACCGCATTCAGCGTAGCAGGTCATTGGTCATTTTCCAGTTTACGGTGGTTCTTTTTAGACTTTGTAATTCTGCACAGACGCAACAGATGCTGGTAGATGCATTATTTAGATCCAAGTTCGAGCCAAAGATATTTGCATATCTGGATCATCTGGAATTATTATTTCAAGTGAAAAATATTCTGGAAGAACCAACCTGACCATAAATTTGAAGAAGTGTGAGTTCTACAAAACTTCCTTGACATTTTCAGGCTATGTAGTCGGTGGCGATGGTCTTTATACGGATCCAGGTAACGTTTCAGTTATGTTGAATTACCCTAGATCAACCAATTCGACAGAAATCAAAAGATTCATAGGCATGTGCTCGTGGTACCGACGATTCATAAGTGGATTTTCTAGTTTAGTGGCCCCCTTGAATACCTTATTGAAGAGCAAGAAAAAGAAGCAATCAATTTCTTGGACTTCAGAAGCCGAATCAGCATTCATTAGCATCAAAAACGCATTTACGATTCAGAGTGACGCTTGCGACACTGGTATTGGTAGTGTTCTAACACCACTTGAAGGGGATGAGAAGGTGATTGCCTATGCCAGACAAGCACTCAGTCGTTCAGAAAAAAATTATTCCGTTACAGAAAAGGAATGCTATGCGGTGATCTTATGTATTGAAAAGTTTAGGCCGTATATTGAAGGTGTGAAATTTCGTATTCTCACTGACCTAGAGGGTAGTGGTCCTACAGGAAAATTGGCTCGAAGTACGTTTGCGTCAGCATAACTTCCAAGTGATCCATCAAAAAGGTGTGCTCAACATAGTGCCTGATGCCTTGACAAGGATACCTTACCAAACGCAAGATATAGCCACTTTGGAATCACCTCTTGATAATCTAGATTCTTGGTTTAAATTTCTTCGGTCCCTAGGTCCCCAGATGTTTATCCTCAAGGGAAAGTCGACAATGGTTTATTCTATAAATTTGTCTCTTGCCTTCTTCCAGTACACACCAATTTTTCCGATTGAAAAGTACTTGTACCCAAAAACTCGAGGCAAACTGTCTTGAATATGTGTCATGATTCAGTTACTTTGGGTAATTTTGGTTTTCGAAAAACGCTAGCAAGGATAGAAAAACAATACTATTGGCTAAAAATGTCACAAAATGTTCCCAAGTATGTCCGTAAATGCGAAGTGTGTGCAGCTCAAAGAGCCTCGCCTGTCTGATGGGTGGCAAAAAATATGTCCAGTTTCCATGGCAGATAATATCCGTAGATCTGATGGGCCCGTTTTCTAGATCTTCAAAAGGAAATACCCACCTTTTAGTTGTTTGTGATTTTCTTACCAAATATACACTAATGAGTACCATAAGAAAAACTACAGAGGAAAACACTGTGAAGTTCATGGAAAATAATGTATTTTTAGTTTTTGGGATTCCTCAGTTCATATTCTTTGCTGATGAATCACAGTTTGCAGGAATTGTATTTAAAAAGTTCAATTCAAAATATTCTCCACAATGCAATTTTGTGGAAAGAACTAATAAAACGATTGGAACCGCTATTAGGTGTTTTTTCGATGAACACACTAATTGGGACGATAATTTGAATAAAATTCAACATGCCATAAATACATCCAAACATGAAGAAACTGGTTTCTCTTCCACCTATTTGAATTTCGGAAGGCATGTGCCGCTCTCAGGTACCTTTTATGGTGTATATGAAATGACCGCCGATACGAAAATAACACCCGGAGATCGAGAAGGATATCCGTCAGAACTTAAATGTATATATTTATGTGTATGTGTGTATGTATGTATATATATGTGTATGCATGTGTATATTTTCAAATCTTTCATTGTAACCTAGTACTAAGGAACTGACTTGCTATAAATGTATCTTTGTACATGATGTACTAAAATGAACATCTATCTATCTATCTATCTATCTATCTATCTATCTATCTAATGATTTGTTCAAAGAAGTTCTATCTAATTTACATTCTTTCTATAATCGTAATGCAAAGCGGTACAATCCTCGTGAGACAGATATTTTTTTCCACGAAGGTGATAAGGTATGGAAAAGAAATAAAACCTAATTAGATGCTGGTGATGAAAATACAGCAGAATTAGCCCCAAAATATATTCTGTGTAAGGTGACAAAGGAAATCTCACGACTTAAAACTATAGAGGGATCTGATGTGGGAGAATGGCACATCAGGACATCAAACCATATTATGGTTCCTATGATGCTCAGTAAAATGAGATTTCACAAGTGTATCTTCTGTCTCTGTCCTGGTTTTTTTCATGAATTTTTTTCAGGAGTATTTAGTTAACCAACACATCGAGAGCTATTTTTCATTTGAACGACGAACGACCGGAATATCAAAACTTTCTAATGGTGTGCATAAGACTTGGCCGCAAGAGGCACATTACCTAGTCATTTCAATTTGATAAAAAATATATTTCTGCTTTTGCTATTTTTGTATATAGATTATACATGTAGTTCAGTTTTGCAGTTTTCAAGTTCAAGTTAGCCTAGGTTTTGTTAAAGAACTCATCTGTTCCTTGCATTTCACTTTGATAACAACTATCAATATCGACAGTTGTCATCGATATCAATAATTATAGATACATACCTACATTAGTAGCCTTATATTTTGATGTACGCATTGTAGTTTCGTTTGCACATTTTGTCAAACAATTGAAAATTGTTATTTCATTAGAATGCGATTCGTTTTGGTAGACATTACCGGCCTTTGACATACCATGATTAAGACTCGACTGATAGTGACTCCATAAGGACGTGTGATAAGTGTAGTTTATCAATCAAAAAGAGTAGAGCATTAAAATAATCTAGTCTGCTAGATGATTTCATTTTCGTAGGAGGGTCGTGTAGCGTTTTATTTTCTTGCGTGACCACGGTTTAGGGAAACATTGACGACAATATAGATGTACACTGTATATACGTCTGATATGATCGAAAAACATCAAAGTAGATCTCTTTCAATCTATGCGTTTCGCTCAATCCAGTTAAGGTTCCTACACCGATGGGATTTTTAGTTCCCATCGGTACACAAAAGATGGCATACCACTTCAGTTATTCAAATTTAGAAAGGAATCAAATCATCCAATCCTCTGAAATTATTTTTCGATCATCGAACAGTTACCAAGGTGATGTGATATCTTTTCGAAGGCGCTTACCAATTTACCTCAGCAAATTGCTTTTATGCAAATTGTCTTAATCGGATTTGAATTGCTGTATGGTTCTCGCACCTACATCACTTTGTAGTACCATTCTTGTTACAATCAGTAACCATTTTTGAAGAGAAATCTTTCCCAATTTGTTGAAGGAGGCCCTCATGGTTTGACACCCATTTTCACCAGTTCCGTGAATATAAACTGAGAGCCATCTCTGCGGATTCTGCACCAGTTAACATGTCATCAACGTAGAAGTATTTGATGACCTTAGCGGCTGCTGAATTTTCAGATAAATGATCAAGACATAGTTGTTTCAAGTATTGCTGGGAACGGTACTCACCGCATTCCATACGTTACTTTATTCTGAGTATACCCTTTCATTGATTAGCAGGATTTTCTTTCTGAACTATTTCCTGATATACTCTATACTCAGCCTCACCCATATCATGCGGTACATCTTCTCAATGTCTGCGCAAACCAACACTGAACCTCAATGAAATTATGAACAAATCATCTTGTAACTTTGGACCAGTGTTTTGAATATCGTTCAAAGAAAGTCCATAAGATGTTTTTGAAGAACCATTGAAGACTACTCGCAGTTTTGTAGCTAAGCTACTCGCAATGAGTACTCCAAGCTGAGATGGGTGAAAGAATAATTCACTAAGTAATCCTTCACATTCTGACATATGTCCTATTCCAGAATACTTCTTTATGAAATCTGCATACATATCCCGCATTCACGGGATTCTTTGCAATCTTTTTTTCAGAGCCATAGATTGGCTGTGCTGTTGCACAGTAGATCGTTCGATTGGTATCTGAACAATAAACTTACTATCTTCTCCCCTTCTAGTGGTATCACAAAAGTTGTCTTGACACTACCGGTCTTCTCTCGAAAAGACAGGTTTAGGATTAGGGGTAGAATCTACCCCCCAAAACATTTTCAACTGAGATTGTATGTCAATCAGGGTAATCGAACAGTACTTTTGTGTCTCATCAATGTGAGCGGACCTGACACCTTCCATCCCGTGAGAGATCTCAAAGTGTTGGTGGATCTTTTCCCAATTTGACATTACCCACACACAATAAATTATGAATGAAATACTTCTGGAATACAGCTTATACATCAGAATAATATATAGGCTACAATTTACAGAAGTAATGTAAAGGTTGGTTCATAAGGAAGGACGTGAAAATTAAAAAGCTTATGGAGTTTTCACTTCAGTCTATTGTTTTTCTTCTCATTCTCATTTCCAATTGACAAATCGTTCATTATCGATACAGTTTGCATATCCTACATAAATATATTTGTAATATTAGCAAAACGTAGTTGACCTACTTATAAATGAAAATGATTGATGTACAGGGTGTATATACATAAATAACTATTTGAAAGAATAAGTAGAATTATCTAAAGGGCACTACATCTCCCCCTTTTAGAAGAATGAACTTCATTCCGGCCGAAAATGAAAGTCATTCATTCTTACAGCTACAAAAGAAAATAGGGGCCATATATTGCCGACCATTTTAGAATTACACATAAAAATTGAACAACCTGATCTATTATTCAGTATAAACGAAATGAAAAACTCTTTTTTTTTATCCCCTTCTCCTAAAACTACCAAAAATAGATACTACCCGAAATTATTTCATTATCCATACTTATTAGTAATACTTACTCAAATTACAGATAAGTCTACAATAATTTAATAGTCTGAACCACGCATTATTTATTTATTTTATTTCTCACTATATACAGGGTGTCCCTGGACTTCCTCTTTTCCTCTCGGGAATGTATAGATGGGGTCAAAATATCACCAGTACTTCATATAACTTTTTTTCCTAAAATCCTTCGTTACCAAGTAACGGACCCTCGAAGTTACAAAATGAAAAATGTTTTT